ATACTTTTTTTAAAAACAATTTATAATCATAAAAAATTTAATGGGAGACTTTTAACAAATTTAGTAATTTATTGTTATTAAAACAATTTAAATTATAACATATACAAAAATGTAAAATTTTATTCTATGGTTAATATATATTTTATTTTATGTTAATAATATAAAATTAAGCATAAATGATGGAAATACACAAATTGTTATCAAATTTTAATTATTTTATATCATTAATATCATATATATACTTTAATCATATTAGGTAATCTCGTAATTTTATTTTTAAAAAGAATCAAAATGATTAATTATATTTTAATTAACTTCATGATTATTACAATAAAAATTAGAATATATATATATATATATATATATATATATATATATATATATATATATATAATGGACTAATATATTTCTTTAGAGAATTTGAGAATCATTCTAGTAATGATATGTATCATAGATAAAATGTTGTAATGTTTATCTTTTGATATATAAGGACGAGTTATATAATGTTAAACAGCCGTGAGAGTTCAGAAAACCTATGTTGTTATCTTATATAATAAAGTTAGTTTTATTATTGTGTCATCTCATTAAAGTTTAAGAAATTATTTGTTGGGCTTTAGAAAGAAACTATATTATATTAGAAAAAAATATATTATTGATTGAATACATATTTGTTTTGGGTTTTTATTATTGTAGACTGCGTTTAAACTTTTGGATTATAGAGATCATTTAATAGTATAGGTTTGTTCGTCATCTTCGTTTGAGATCATTAGATCAGCCGACAAAGGTTGTAGATAACGGAACAAATTATCAACTTTCCGTAATGTCTCGACGCACGCTTGATTCACACCTTCTTTCCTCTTATTTTATAAGTGACTAACCCACTCTAGATCATTGAAACCACATTATCGCATCCCGAAAATTACCATGTAGAGGTATGAGTATATATATATATATATATTTTGTAGACATGAACAGCACAGCTTCGACGAGCATTAGAAGAAAAGTTTGTTCAACTTTTCGATTGCTACAATGGTGATTTATTCCATCCTCCTTGCCGATTTGAAAGTCGGGCACTGCTCCAATACCACCGACGTTCACTTGATGAAGTTTTGGGAGGCCAGAAATGTGAGGAAAGGCGCTGTTTTCATGAGTCTAGACATGCTCCTCATCGACGAGAATGTAAGCATCTCCTTTCCGATTAACGCTGTTGACGATTGGTTCCATTATGATTGTCTAAAAAAATAATTTATCATTTTTAACAGTCGACGATTATTCAAGGTTCTGTAAATGTGAATTGTCAATTCATGTTCAGGCAGTGTCTCAGCGAATGATCAGTCTACAGGTTGAACGGGTTTGATGTAACGCACATCAACCCCAATATCTGGATGTTGGATGCCCATTTCTCCATTCGATTCAATAATGGAAGCTCTTTAGTTAAGAAAACAACATTTCTTAGGCCCATACCTACTGAAACTTTCAGATTTCTGACCTGGTCTGAAGTATAATTATGATACTACCGGAATCTTAAGTTATATTTATAAGTATTAGACATTGTGTGTTCATTACTAACTTTTAATTTGGAGAAATTAGCAGCTAACAAACACATTAAGATACAATTTCATACCTAATTGTTAACAAGAAATTAATGAAAACATATAGCCAAAAACAATACATAGTTGAAATGAAGACTTCCATAATAATTAGTCAAAAACATAAAATAATATATAACAGATAAAACAATAATGAACAAGCGATAAAAAAATTTCTTATGATAACAAGAGATCAAAGATTATTGTATATCTAAATAAATGTTATAAAAAAAAAATCGTTTGTTAAGAATTCCCTAAAACCTTCAAGCATAAATTTAATATGGACATGAAAATTAAAAATAGACTACTTGTAAACACACAAAAAGAGACGCTATATAAAATAAGATAAAAATAATCATAGAAATCAAACTATATAATCTAAAATAAGACAAATGCACCAAAATAATCTATAGTTCCAAAATAAAATAGTCTTAGTCTCACTAAAGTATATTAATAATTTTATTATGAAAAGACCGAATATCAAAGTATTAAATAGTTTTAATAAAAAATTATAAAAATAGTAATTAAATAAAATAATTCATATATAATGATAGTAAAATATTTCAAAAAACAAAATCAAAAATAAAAACAAGTGTTAAACAAAATATCTAAAAGAAAACAAATTCATGCAAATCACGGGTCAACTACTAGAAAAAAAAAATTATTTATTTATAGAACAAAAAAGTATAAATAACTAAAAATCTAAAAATGAATGTATAAAATAGAGAAAATAAATCATTTATATATTGATTTAAATAGTTTATGAATATTTCCTTATTTTTATAATAAAAATAATAAAAATAAAAATAAAAAATAGTTACATTAATTAAAAAGAATTTACAAGCACGTGCTTTCTAACAAAAATAACAAAAACAAATATTTAACCCTTAGTAACTTATAAGTGCTGGTCTTATGAATATAGGTTTAAAATCATGTGTGAAAGAGCATAGTAGATTTACAATAAAACCATAGAATAAGTGTCGTTATCATTTTGCATTTAACGGCATACCATCGCCTTCTTAGCTTTGATTGATAAAACTAACGATAAAACAGTAACAATATGCTGTAAAAGTTATATATTCTTATTTATATATTTAATAATATGATAATAGAACAATAAATAATTTACATATAAAATTATCACAAAAAGTAATATATGGTATGTAATTTAGTGATGTCTAACTAATATATATATATATATATATATATATATATATATATATATTTATAATATGTTAATATGTATTATTTTATTATTTTTAATAATTAATTTATATTTTGAAAGTGAAATATTATTCTTTAAAAAATAAAACTATTTAAATTGCAAATTTTATTTTCAAAATACATATTTTATTTTTGGATACAAAATTTAATTTTAATATTATTAAATTAAATATATTACTTATATATAAATAGATTCTTAATTTTTATATATTTTGTATGCAAATTCTCTTCCAAAAACTCCATATAAGAGTATTAAGCATAGAACGTTTGGAATGCATTAGCATCTTGTAAATACTTTTCTTAATGGTTGATTGAATAATAAAAACATATAATGATTATGCTAATGTTTTCCTAATCAAAACCTTAGTAATTGCTCTAAATAGGTATGGGTATACAGATATTCGGTTTCAGGTATATTGGATAAATTATTCATATACCCAATAAATACTTATGAGATTTTGGTTCGATTTTTAGTTCGGTTCCAAATACCCGTTTAATAAGTGAATCAGAAAAAGAAAAAAAAATATATATATATACAAAATATATTAGTTAATATGTTAATTTAAATGGTTTAGTGTTTACATGCTTACATATTCATCAATCCAACAAAAATTCGAGTCAACAGAATGTTAATTTTATATATTGTATTTTAATATAGAAATACCATATATATTTATAATATAAGAAAATAGATAAAAGATAACATTTGTGTGGTGATAACCCTTGTTCGGAAACTCGCTAGGCGCTACGCGTGCGGCGAACCCGGACCTAGTAATTTTTTGAAAAATCAGAAAAAAAAATTGAGAAGTATGTGGGGAGGAATTTTTTTGTATATGTATATATAATGTCTTACTTATACATATAATAAAAATATGTATAATATATATTTAACTATCAGAGACACAACAAAAATATTTTTTGATCCTGAGAACATAATAAAAATAAGATACATCATACATATAATCAAACGTACCAAAGTGGTTTCATAATCTAAAGTATCCTATATACGTAACTATTATACAAATTGTAAAAACTATGTGAATGAACATAAAAATATGTTCTGGTGTACTGGTGCTTGAATTAAAAAGCTCATAATTTCAAATAGTACAAATTTAATTGGGTTTTATTCAGTTAAAAATCAGATTTAAAACCGATTAATCGGTTAAGTTGGTGACTATACGGTCATTCGATTACTAAAATTGATTTTCCCTTAATCGCGGCGGTTGCTTGACGCCTAAGTCTAGTTGGACGTGTAATCAGTTAGACGGCCGCGTTTTAGAACAAAAGTGGTAACAATGTTCTCATTCTTCCTGTCCAACTTATATTAAAAAAGTTTAAACTCGTTTTTTGAATATTCAGATACCGGTTTGGTTCCGATTTTGGTTCATTTTTTCAGACAAAGAAATATCGAAACCATTCAGATATTTAAAGATTTCAGTCCGGTTTCGATTTTGGATATTTTGGTTTGGTTCCATTTTTTAGTTCTGGTTTTTTTTGTCCAGAGTTAGCTCTAAATATGAGTGGGTAAATTTAAAAGAGACGGGGGAGAACTGTTATGGTGACACTTCAGAAAATCAAATGTCAGTAAATATATTACATTTTCAAGATTTTTTTTTTTAATACTGGTTAATTATGCATTACAAACTATGAGAAATATTACATAGACGATATTATAGCCGACAGTTCTACCTACCTTATGCGGATTCACGTCTGATTGCATCAAGTCGCCCTGTGAGATCCATTCCTGACGGTACTCCTTGCGCCATGCTGAAGATCTCTTGTAAGCGTTTTCTTCAATAATCTTTCATAATTCGCCATTCACCTTCTCCAGGAATTGAAACCTGTACAAACTTTCAGAGATAACTCAAAACCCTAGATACACCTCATAATCTAATTACAAGTGGATAGCTTCTCAACCATTAGATACAAGAAGTGGAGCGTATGAATTACGCAGGACCACTTCTCCAGCTGGTTTGATCTTCATCTTCTCCGTACAGCTTTGTTTGTATCTCTGCAGTTTTACCGCCTTCACTTCTGGGCCTTTACTCTCATTATCTTCGAGGCCCACATCTTGTGATTCTGTTTTGGTTATATTACGTTCAAAACCCTTCCTGGTGTAAAAACTGCGTAGCCTACGATTCGAACCCCAGATCTGACGCAGAAGCTTGAAATCTTAACCATTAGACTATGGTGTTTACACTTTCAAGATTTCTCTTTAAAATTAGTTCTCTTTCTAATTTTTAATAATAAAGGAATCTTTATTGTTGGTGTTCTTGTCACCGCCCGAATAACAGACATGCATAATAAATAAGTTAAAGCCATGAATACATAATCTATTTGTTTAGTACATAATCTATTATTACAACCTCTTATCAATATATTATTACATAGATTGAATATGTATAATTTGTTGGCTTTGTGTATGTTCTTGTGTAATTTCTGGTTTCAGTGTGAATATAATTTTTTAATGGAAAAGATATAATTCATTAGTGGGATAAATTGCCTTCAAAGCTTCAACTCTCATTCCGGCTTATATATGTCTACAATCTCGTAAACTGGTAACCACCAAGACATCTCTCTCTCTCTCTCTCTCTCTCTCTCTCTCTCTCTCTCTCTCTCTCTCTCTCTTTCTATCTCTCTCTCTCTCTCTCTCTCTCTCATCTCATGAATATGGTAACACGAAGAAATCTTTATCAGGAAGCCTTCTTCGATTTTACAAAACTACCACCTTCGCAATGGGGTGATCATTTCCTCAGTGTTCGCATAGCTGACTCGGTGAGTGCATGCATACGTATCCATTAACAAAAAATGCTTAGCATAAATGATAAACATCCATTAGATGCTATAACGTAACATGATTTTTGCCTTTTATCTACTTTCAGGATTTTGATCTCCTTGCAAGAGAGATTAAGGTACTAAAGGCTCAACTAAGAGAGGACATATTCAATTTGTCATCTCCAGACAACACTACACTAAAGAAGTGTATAATTTCGATTCATCTGCTGATCTCCCTTGGCATCTCTTATCATTTTGAGAACGAGATCGAAGAGATCTTGAAACATGCGTTTGAAAAGATAGATGATTTGATCGCTGATGAAATTGATTTGTACACAATTTCCATCATATTCCGGGTTTTCAGAACATATGGTCATTACGTGTTATCCGGTATATCATTTTAGCATGTTAAAAGATAGTTTATATACAATTTAATCATAGATATAGAATCTATACTGAACACCATATTTTTTTCGTTGTAGATATTTTCAACAGATTTAAAGGAAACGACGGCAAATTCAAGGAAAGTTTAGTAGAAGAATATGTCAAGGGTATGCTAAGCTTCTACGAAGCTGTACACTTTGGGACAACAACAGATCATATACTGGATAAAGCGTTGAGCTTCACACTAGACCACTTGAAGCCATTAGCTACAGGCTGCCGACCGTGCACACCACATCTTGTCAAGCATATACAAAACGCCCTCCACATACCTCAGCACCGGAACAGCCAAGCTCTGGTTGCAAGGGACTATATTACATTCTATGAACAAGAAGAGGACTGCGATGATACACTGCTCAAGCTAGCCAAGCTTAACTTCAAGTTCATGCAGCTTCAATACTTCAAGGAATTAAAAATTATAACAATGTGAGTAAATTAGTTACCTAATGCTATATAATTAAGGTTGTTTTTGACTGCGTATATTTCATCTTTTGTATTTTTGTAGGTGGTGGAGGGAGCTAGAGCATACATTAAACCTTCCAGCTAATATCAAAGAAAGAACCGTTGAGAGTTGGTTCTCGGCACTGATGATCAACTTCGAGCCACATTTTTCACTTGGGAGAATTATGTCAGCTAAGTTATACTTATTGATCACGTTTATAGACGATGCTTGCGATATATATGGTTCAGTTCCTGAAGTTGCATGCCTAGTTGATTGTCTCGAAAGGTATATACTTTGAAAATACTCATGAATTTTCATAACAAAATCCAGCTTTAAATTATTGTAGAATTCGATAATCAGTTTTGTGTTGATTACTAGCAGATGGGATCCCGATTACATGGAAAATCTTCAAGATCACATGAAAAGTGCCTTCAAGTTTGTGATGCATGTTTTTAAAGAGTATGATGAGATATTGAGGTCACAAAAGCGATCCTTTATGCTAGAAAAGATGGTAGAAGAGGTGATTTATCTACAAAATATTCATAATCATACAATAACACATTCATAAATCAGCTGGGAATAAGTAATGTAACATTTTTCAAATTTTGGTATAACTAAACAGTTTATCATACTCGCAAAATCAAACCTAAAGCTTATCAAATGGACAAAAGCATGTCACATGCCTAACTTTGATGAGTACATGGAAGCTGGTGAGGCTGAGGTCGGTGCATATGCAGCCATGGCATGTTCTATAATGGGACTTGGAGATATTGGTAAGAAGGAAGATTTTGAGTGGCTTAGATCTAGACCAAAGTTTGTCCGCTCTTTAGCTGCAAAGACACGGCTTATGGATGACATAACCGATTATGAGGTATTAATTAAACTTATTTAAGAAAAAAAAAAAACTTATTTAAAAATCTTTAAAAATGTTTTAAATCCGAATCTAACGTGGACTAGTTCTTTTTGTCCGTTATTAACAACTTTGCAGTCTGCTGTTAAACTATTAATAACAGACAACGGATGAGCCAGGTTTTTATAAATATGTTTTTAATCCTTTCTATCTAATTACAAAAGGTTTTATTTTAGTTCGATTTAGATCAGAAGTTCTTAGAAGAATAACATTTTCAGTTTGATTAAGAACAACTTGACTGATTGGACTGGCCTGACTACCTTTTCAGATCATTATGTTTTTCTTGTATGAGTTATTTTGGTTTTTTTTTCTTTTTTCTGAACAAGTATGAGTTATTTTGTTTAGCCACCTAATTAACTTGTGGTCTTTCCAGGACGATATGAATAAAGGGTATACAGCAAATGCAATAAACTATTACATGAACCAACATGGAATAACCAAAGAAGAAACCAATAGAGAACTTGAGAAGATGATTGGAAATATCAACAAAATTGTCAACGAAGAGTACTTGAAAACCACCAACATTTCCGGTCGAATTCGTAACCAGTTCATCAATTTCGGACGCTTAGTGGACGTTCTCTATACGGCAGATGATGTCTTCAATCACCGCGGTGGAAAATTCAAGGATTATATCTTCACTTTACTCATAGATCCCATCCCTTAAAGCTTGTCTTATGTTGAGTGTGTTATCTGGTTGGTTGATGAAACTTAATCTAATGAATCCAATAAAATTACTTCAAAACGATGAAAGATATGTGTTGTCTTGTTTTCAAAATATACAATAAGATTTCGAAGCAATTAAAGAAGTGAGAATACTCTTATGGGTTTCCAAACACCCTTTTATAAATCCAATAATACAAATTATGTATAGACAAAAAAAAAGACACGCAAGACATGTAGGACTTGGAAAAGGATATAGACTACCAAACCTTTTCACTTTTTCAGTATGCAAAAGCCATATAACATGTTGGATTTTACAGATAAAGATTTGGATCGGACAACCTTAGCACGGGGGTGGTAAGAAGTGGATTCTTCAGTTTCAACGCGATCCCAAACTTCTCCTCGACCTCCATTCTTTCTCCTTGAGGAGGTTTCCAGTCAAAAGAATGCAAAAGCGTAGCGATATTATAAAGAACAACTCTCTCGCCCATGGCCATTCCCACGCATATTCTACGACCAGCTCCAAACGGAATATAGTTGAAATCATTTCCGTTGAAGTCATAAGATTCATCAAGAAACCGGTTGGGATCAAACTCAAGTGGGTTCTCCCACACATTTGGATTCCTATGGATTGCCCACGCATTAATGAAGACCTTTGAATCTTTAGGGATAGTGAAGCCGCCCACCACGGTGGTTCGGGATGGTCGGTGAGGAATCAGGAGTGGTGCAACCATGTGAAGCCTGAGAGTTTCTTTCATAATGGCAAGAATGTACGGAAGTTTAGGGATGTGAGACTCCTCCACTATTTTATCTTTTCCCACAACTTCGTCAAGTTCTTGTTGAGCTCTCTTCATGATATCCGGTTTGTTTATTAGCTCGGCCATTGCGAACTCTATGACATGTAACGATGAATCTGTACCACCCAGCACCATGTTCTATATATATAATTGAGACAGTTATGATTCTTTTTAAAAAGTATTATAAAACTAACTGAAGCTCAAGCCAGTAACAAAAGAAAAAAAAAAATTAACTGAAGCTATTATTTTAAATTAGATACTACAGTAAAAACTCTATAAATAATAATATTAAGATTATAATCTCTATAATATTATTTGAGAAGTCAGTTTCCTATGTGTCGCTCTCACGTTTATTCTCACGATGGTTGATTACATTGATACCCTTAATGAATTAAAAATAGTATTATTAATTCTTTTATTTTTAGTTTTTCCTTTTCAAAAATTTCCAAAATGATATGTAATAAAAAGGCATTTTTTATAAAGTCATAAAAAACAAATTTAAAACGAAAATATATGTATATATAATATGATTTCATAAAAAGGAAAGTTGACAAAATAGTAATAATACATTTAAAAATATTTTTAAATAACATAAAAATATGTATATATAATATACTTTCATAACAAAGGAAAGTTCACAAAATAGTAATAATACATTTAAAAATATTTTTAAATAACATAAATATAATTTTAGAGTAATAAAATAGTTTATAATTAGTATTATTGAATTTTTATTTATTTTTCATATATTTAGTTGACTATAATATCTTTCAATTACAGAAAATTATCTAGAACTTATATTTTACTTATATAATATTATTTTCAAATACAATCACAATTTTGTGTAGTGCTTATTTTTAAGAGATATTAAAAACTAAAAGTAAATTTAACAATAAACATCGTTTGGTCAAAATAATTCTTCTAATGAGCTAGATATATGATATTTTATCATTATTAAAATTATTTATTTTATTAATATTAATTGTTTTAAATTTTATGTTTTATGTTTGTGAAACTAAATATAACCATAATCAAAATATCAAAGCAAATCTGAATTCTCAATTTAATATTATTTAAAATAAATTTCAGTTTACATTCAATAAATCTAAAGCATAAAGTTATTTAGAATTTATAAATGCATGTAACCTTTTATTGATCATATGATAACTCATAACATATTAACAAATAAAAATAAATACTAACCAACTCTTACAATTTTAGTTCTTTTGTAAAATTTATATATATCCATGAGACTTTAGAATATTTTNCCAACTCTTACAATTTTAGTTCTTTTGTAAAATTTATATATATCCATGAGACTTTAGAATATTTTCGTTATATTAATTTACGTATTTTGGAATCAGACACTTTAGTTAATTTTTAATTCATTCTAAGCACAATATATCTTAAGTTATACATAATTTTCCTAAAATATATTTACATATCTAAGACAACACCCACCATATGAAAATAAGTAACTAACTAAAAATTAATATATTTTAAAAATATTACAGTTGAATTCAGAGATGCAATCCAATTTATCTAAATGATAATTAAACCAACCGTAAAACAACAAAATTGACTAGATATAACATATATAAAATTACAGTGTAAGTAAAGTAATATAATACTATTCATATAAATGATGCATAAAATTATAAATTAATTTAAAATTACAAGTAAATAATAATTAATTATTATTATATATTTAATTTAAAAGTATTTATACCCGTGCATGAGCACGGGAAAATCACCTAGTATTTTTATTAATTTACAAAAAAAAAACAATTTTAGATATTTATATTTTCGTATATGGTTATATGTAAAAATAAGAAGAATACTTAATTTTACGGTATATGCATTGGCTAAATTTTAAAGATACAAAATTTCTATTATTCTTATTCGATTTTTTTTTTGTATATAAAATATTTACGAAAATATAGATGAATTTTAGATGTAACATGACAAACTATTATGAATGATTTAGAAGAAAAAAGATTACCAGAAAAGTATTTAGAAAAATTAGAAAATAGACTTTACTATGAAGAAAAATAAACTGTACCATATATTTTTAAACTTTACATACATTGATTATTAATTTATATTTATTTTATGACCATATATTTACATAAAGTTTTCAAAAAAATATCATCTACTTGCTTATCAAAGTGTATTATAATTTACACTAGCCGGATTTGAAATTGGTGAAATTTATTTAATTTATGTGTTTTAATTTCTTGAGTGTTAGTTTATAGAGTTTTTACTGTAGTCTAAATCTAAACCCCAAAGCTCTAGTTTTTTTTAACTATAAATTCTAAATGCACGATATACTACGGTTTAAGAAATCTCAGACCCTAAAAATAATAAACTCTAACACCCAAACCTAAAACGTTTATATTCTTCAATTCCTATTTTTGGTTGACATGTTTTAGATCATTATTCCAATAATCCAAATACCCCTATATGTTTAAGTAAAACAAACCAACTATAATAAATCTTTTTGGCGTTATAACACTCCACTAGAGAATGTCTTACGTACCATGAGCAACGCCTTCACATCGTTCATGTTCAAATCTGTCTGACCATCTTCTTCATCCTTGATTTTTAGTAAGGCCTTTAAAAAATCTTCACCCTTCAGTTCACTTCCCTTATCCATCTCCAGCCGTTGATTAATAACCCGGTCGAACAGCCGGTCCATCCTCTGAGCCAGTCCTCGCATACGCTTAGCCAAACCCTGAAGATCAAACCGGGCCAATACCGGGAAAAAGTCAGATATATTGGGCACCATCAGGAGGTCATTCATCTCTTGAACTAATTCTAAGAACTCCGCTCCAACAATCTCCCTCTCTTCTTCTTCAACCGTAGCGCCCCACAACATCTGCGTTACAACATTTAATATCATCACGAATATTTGTTCTCCTAAGTTAACCTGTGACCGGGCTCGAGCCAGATCCGCTAAATACCTAACTGTTCTCCTGGTCTCTCCCCGACGTAGGTCAGCAGATGAATCCAACTTAACGTTGCTCAGTATCCTATTAACACATAGTTTCCTCAGCATCCGCCACCTTGGTCCATATGGTGACCAGGCTATATCAATACCACCATACGTGTTTATGAGAGCTACGGCAGGAACATCGTGGTTGGCGAAAATGACGTCGTTGGTTCGTAGAATCTCACGAGCCACCTCAGAGGAGCTAACCACTATCGCCAGCTTGGAGCCGAGCCAGAGTTTGAAAATGGGACCGTGCTCTTTAGCCAGTCCTTGGAAGTAGGTGTGAAGCTCTGGTTTGAGGAACGGGAGGTTTCCGATTATTGGAAGACCTCTTGGTCCCGGAGGCAAGGGATGAACCTGCCGTTTGGACTTTGCGTAAAGCCGAATATACCATAAAACAGAGGATAGAGCGATCACTGTTATAGCATAGTCAACGTGGTCCCTGCAACTTAGAACCTTGAAGAGACTCGAGATTGTTGTCATTTTTATTCGAGTTGATGGATAGAACAGAAGAGCCGTTTTGATGTATGTATAATTTCTCATGAAGTAGTAGGACTTAGTATAATCTGGTTTGCTCAAAATTTTAATATAACTAGATGGTGACAGGTGAACAATTCAATAATAAAAATAATAATAATAATAGCAACAACAACTTGACAAAAAGTAATAATGCATTTTTCTAAATTTTTTTTATATAAATTCTATCGGTTGATCCATTTAACTTTATGAGAAACGCATAATACTATAAAGTGGATTACTGTGAACCATTGTTACAGTCCATTATAGAAACTATCTAAACCGAAATCCAAATTGAAATTAGTCAAGTAATGATAATTTAATCTCCACTAAGAATCCAACTAAGAACAGATGTGAATACATACCAAACTCCAAAATATTATCACTAGGTTACCATCATTTGATGTTTCCTTCTGATCTTATTATACAATTACAAACGATCTGGTCGCAATCAAAATCAAAGTTGTCCAAAATAAAAATTGGTCGATTAACATTTTACGACAGACTCGGCAGCGGATGCAAAACAAAAGTTGGTCGATTAACTTGGCAAACCCGGCAGCGGAACCAAAATAAAAATTGTCCAAGAACTCATACAAACGATCAAAATCTCGTGACACTTGCTAATTATCCGGTCGATTAACTTTTTACGAGTAACTGGTTAGATAATCCATATTCTACAAGTAATCAGTTGACTTTAATTTATATTAAGACATATGATATAACGTGTTACACTATTTTACAATTATTTTAAACCATCAATTTCATGTAAACCTTTTTTTTTTTTAAAAAAACGGGAAAACTCAACTGAATGCTAAAGTAGAAAACAATTAGTTATGTGGCGGATGTTTGATAAAGTTTTGATAAACTACAAAACGTAATATTAACTTTTAAAGTTGATTCTGCTTTGGTATTGTATTAAGCTACCCATAGATCAAATTACATGGCTTAGGTTTTTCACAAAAAAAAGTGTACCGTCTTACGAATCCACAACCTCCTAAACACTCAAAGAAAATTGGTCGGACATGCGCATGCCCAGTATATTGTATATATTCTGTAAATGTCGTTTTCTAATATAGTTTAAGCCAACTATTCTACGTACATTATTAATCTACGTACGATTTCTAATATAGTTTTAAAACATTTGTTTGTTTATATTATGGAAATATCTAGTTTACTTTTGTGCAATTGTCGCGTGTGTACGCTGAAGAATAAAACAATTACTTATGTGGCGGCTGTTTAATAAATTCGATTATTTGATAAACTATAACGCCTTATCAAAAAAAAATATGTATATAAATAACTTAACATTTACATGTGATTACGACTTATACCAACAGATCTAAGATATTTTTCAAAAATGACTTAAATGTTTTAGTAAAACACAGAACTAATATCATTTTAATTTTTTTTTTTTTGACATTTTCACCTTAATATCTCCTATATATTAATTGAGAAACATTTGAAAAATATAAGCTTAAATTTGTATTAATTAAAAATAACATAATCCTATATGGCATCTCTCAATGTCTTCTATTTCAAAATAGAATAATTCTAGAGCTTCTAACATAAAATATAGTCTAAAAATTATACTATTTACCAATATAATATTTCGCAGACTATAGTTGGTCACATATATCAAATATTTATTATTTCGCAAGTCTTTTTTAAATAAAACATACGGAATTACCTAATGTGATTAAAATATATATATATATATATATATGACAATTAATGATTTTGAACAATACAAATTTGATAACAATCCATATACTTTTTACCACTTTATTTATTTTTTATTATTAAAATAAATTACACAGTTACATTAATTAAATAATAAAAATCTAGATTTTTTTGTGTATGTTGTATTTTAAATTTTTCAAAACGAGTATAAATTAATAAAACTGTTAAAAACTTCACATAAGCTTTTATGATTAAGGTTTAAATTTTTTCTATATTAAAATACAAGGATTATACGACCATATGAAGAAATAATTTTATTTTAATAGGTTTTATGTTAATATATATATATATATATATATTTTTTTTTTGACAACGAACGGCTGATCTATTACTCAAGCTTGAGGTGGTCTGGGAATTCAGACCGGAATAGAACAAGCAACATATACCAATTCTCGATAGAAAGATCGAGCAGTCTTAGCTAGGGAATCGGAAAAACTGTTATGTGTCCTAGGAACATAGAAAATCTTAAAATATGGAAAGCAAATCCGCAACGTCATTAGCTTTTCCAGTTCCGTTGAGAAGCTTGGACAATCCTGTGGATTCCTGAGCATTGTTATCAGTTCCTTGCAGTCCGTCCCAAAGTTCTGACATAGCGAATGTTGAAGCATGTTCTCCATTGCCCACCGCAGTGTTTCCAGCTCAGAGTGCAAAACAGACTCCACTCTATCATAATTACACATTCCCATCAACTGACTATTCCCCATATTATCATTCCAAACCCATCCACATCCACTGAACTGAGCGATAGAGGTCCAAGAGCCATCCACCATACAGATGTTCCCCAAGCTTATGGCCTGGCTGTCAACATCCACGTTTCCTTGAGAGGACAAAGAAATATGTTCATTGGCTTGGAACCATGCTTAACATTCACTCTGTGCATATCGGGCTAGCTCCAATGGATCTCTATCAATCCCTTTGAACAATTTGTCGTTCCGAGCCTTCCAAATATACAATATAATCCAAAGATAAGGATCCATGTCTAAATCCGGTTCTGCTATGGCGTTCTTCCTCCAAAAGAGATAATCCATATTCGCATATGTGCTCTGAAGTGGAAACAATGTAGGACTAGTAGGCGTCGACGATAAAGCCCAAACTTGCTTTGTAGGTGGACACAGGAAGATGGCATGCGTAATTGATTCTTCGGGTTCTCCACAACGTGGACAATAATTATCACACCTTATATGTCTATAGTTTAAGGTACTTGTAACAGCCACATGGCATGTTATTAGTTGGCACATAAGATGGCACATCTTTTGGGGAGCCCGCACCTTCCAAGCTTGTGCTTGTAATTTAGTGATACTAGGTTCACTAACTACAAACACCTCTTCCTGCTTTAAAATATTCCGCGTAACCCAATATTCAGATTTAACTGTATATTGTCCATTCCTTGTATAGCTCCAACAATATGTGTCCATGCGATGTGTAGAACTAATTGACATACTCTTTATGAGAGGTATATCCACAGCATTAACGTAGTTTTCCAGCCTTGTCGCATCCCACGTCGTAGTGTCTTGATTAATAAGATCGCTTACTCTCATATTTGGATGCAAAACCGGTGCAGATGGAGACGCTGGTCTCGCTGGTATAGTAGGAATCCAAGGATCCTCCCATACTTTCACCTCATAGCCCGTATGAATCTTTTGTCTAACTCCCAATAAGAGTATTCTCGTGCCGCCGAAAGACTTGTCCACACGTATGATGGACTACTAACAGTAAGCTGACGCAACGGCGAACTTAATCAATAATACCGACCTCTCAAAACACGAGCAACCAGATAATCTGGGTATCGTACCAGCCTCCATAACTGCTTTGCGAGCAATGCCAGGTTAAATTCATGGATCATCCTGAAGCCAATCCCACCTTCCTCTTTAGACAAACATAATTTATCCCATGTTGACCAGTGAATGCCTCTTTTTTTTGGGGGGGGGGGGGGTTGAGCTCCACCAAAACTGTGCAATGGCACTAGCTAAGGCATCACATATCTCCAAGGGCAAAAGAAAATAGGACATGACATAAGTCGGCAATGCTAGTAGGATCGACTTGATCATAACCTCCTTGCCACCTTTTGACAACCACCTACCTGTCCATCCGTTAACTCTATTCCTTAACTTATCCTTAAAAAATGCAAAGAGCTTGCATTTAGACCCACTGATGTCCTTTGGGATTCCTAGATAAGTTCTCATTCCCCTTTCATTCTGAATCCCAAGGGTGTCTTTAATCTCCTGTCTAACATCCTGTTCAATCCTCTTACCAAAGAGTAAGGAAGATTTTTCAAAGTTAATACATTGACCAGAGGCTTGTCCATATTTCATGACCAATTTCATTACTTCTTCACATTCACGGGGCTCCGCCTTACAAAAGAACAGGCTATCATCAGCAAAAAGAAGGTGGGATATCGAAGGGCACGCACGCGTGATGCGCATCCCCGTTATCTTCCCTTGATTCTCTGCGTGATTTAGAAGGCTAACGAGCGCTTCCGTGCACAGAATAAAAATGAAACGGGACAGAGGATCCCCCTATCTTAGACCTCTCTCTGGAACGATATTCCCTCTTGGCTGACCATTCATAAGGACCTTATACTGCACTGATATTATGCAACACATAATCCAGGTTATCCAGATTTATGAAAAAACCATCTTCCTCATGGTGGCCTCAATGAATGACCACTCCATTCTATCATACGCCTTGCTCATATCCATTTTAATGGCCATCCTCTTATTATGTCCACTGCGTTTGGTTCTTAGAGCATGAAACATCTCCTGAGCAATCATAATGTTATCAGAGATTTGCCTCTCCGCAACAAAAGCTGACTGGGTTTCTGAAATTCTATTTGGTAGAACTTTTTTTAACCTCTGGCATAAGACCTTAGAGATTATCTTATAACTAACATTGCATAAGCTGATAGGGCGTAATTGACTCATCTGATTTGGCTTATCAACTTTCGGAATGAGACATATGTTGGTTTCATTTAAGCCAGTGGGTATCGTACCTTCAAACAGAAATTGATTAACCATAAGAGTTAAATCCTCTTTAACGATATCCCAAAATTTCTGGTAAAAAAGCGCAGTCATTCCATCTGGCCCTGGAGCTTTCTCTGGATGCATCGCAAAAAGCGCAGTCATTTATATATTCTAGATGCAAATATTCTACCAAATGCTTCTTAAAAAACATTAGGATATTTGCTAATACTCTATCAATCTAGCCCTGTGACACTTCGTTTATATTCT